TGGTGACAGAAGGAGCAGTCAGACCTCTGAAAAGCAAACCAGGAGAATAAAGGGTAATTGCTATTACCTGCAGATAACTTTCAAATCTATGTTTTCGGACTGTATCTCTCTTATGAGCTTCAGGCACACGTAGCCAACTACCCACCAAAATTTTCTCAGTTAATCAATGTCAAATGTTTTAAAAAATGATATTTTAGTATAGTATGTTCTACTCCCAGCCCTGTCACTAATGAGCTGTGGGATCTTGGCCAGTCATATAATATTCTTGGGTCTGATTTCCTTATCTAGAAAGCAAAAATATTGGATTAGACTAGCCTAGATACTTCCAAGACTTCATCCAGCTCTAAAACTATGATTGTGCACATTAAAATGTAGCTATCACTATAATTTTATTTACCTAGGCAAAGCCCATTAAAATGTATTAGGCAAAACAAGAGCAACTCGATTGGTGGCATATAGAACTTTTTGCCTTCACTAGAACACGCAGGGTAGCATAACAAAGTACTTGAGCTCTGAAGTAACATGGGCCTAGTTTCATAGCCCAGCTGTCCATCACTAAATACCCATGAGATCTGTGGTGAGTGGCTTAACCTCTCTGATCTAGACTAGGCAAAATGAGACCTAGTCTAAAAAGTCAATGACTCATACTAGACTAGAACAAACCAAGTACCAGTCTCCTATAGATAAGTGGTAAGTATCCCATTGTCCTGGAAGCAACATCCTCTGAATCCCAGGATTTACAGGTGTAGCAAACAACAACAACAACAAAACCTCTCTGGAACACACTTTTTGTTCTCAGGTTGGGTAGCTATCAGAGATTTACTGAATTTCCAATTAGCAGTTCTCTGTGGTGAGAGAAGAGGGCAGCACCATCTCTCAAGAGAAGTCAGTTTTGCCAAGGTTTGTCACTCCAGCTGCTAGACCTGTATGGACAGGTTACATTTTGAGTCTACTGGAAATAACAGTGAATGAGGAATAAATGATGGAATTTCACCTGCTCTCTGTGTCCAGACACATGGGAAAACAACTCAGGAGCCAGAAAATGGGGCAATTTTGTTCATTTTACTGTATCAAAACAGTTTGGACCCCATTTTGGTTCTCAGGGCTGTACTCTACAAAGAGAATTAGAGAAAACAAGTGAATTGAACATTAGTAACAATTTGCAAACCTTCTGATTATTTCCATTAAAATGCCTTTGACTCCTGCTGATTGTCTAGGGGGCCTTTAATCTTGGGTTGTCTAATAAAATCAACTCAGAGCCTTTGCATTATATAAATTCTAGGAAACCAGCTGAGAAATCTATGATGTGCTTTTGCAAAGGAAGATTCACGTAGTTAATTGGTCCCCTATTCCGCTTCCTCCATCACTTTACAAAGATGAAAAATGACTGATGCTAATGCTGATTGTCCCAACATAGCTCCCCACAGTGGATGCTTGGACGTAATTAGAATCCTGAGAAGCTCCTCCTCTTCCATTACCAGAGATTAGTTCTTTATACTCCCAGTTATCTTGAATCTTTTGACAAAGCAGTTTTCTTGGTCTCCATCCTGAGTGGTGATTGAAGTGCTATAGAGCTTGGCCATTAGCTGATGAATAGGTGGAGTTTGAATCTGCTCTCCTGTGGGGTTATCATTGCTGTGCTCTGATCACTGTATTTCAGTGGGATTAGTAAATCAGTCCCAGACAACTAAGTGCCTTGAGCTGTTAATTAAGGAATGGGTACTATCCATTAAGAAAGATAGTACAGCCCATTGACTTGCTTGGTGGCATACACCTAAATCTCCACAAATGCTATCAAAGAGGCTTTCTACATTTACCCAAGGAAAATAAATAAATCCCAGGCACTCTTGAAATTACTTAGCAGATTTTAAGTCCCTTTACTTAGCAGACACTCATCACAGAAGAATCACAGCATGTAAATATGGTGATGACTTCCTCATAGAATTTTTAAACCCCACAAATGCAGTCAAGGGAAGGAACCTTTGCATTTTCAGTGTTTATATGTAACTGCAGAAGTCACCACACATTCCTTAGAATCTCTCAGTGGACCCAAAGGTAGACTCAGCTAAATTAAAACAATATAAATGTAAACGTCAGAAGCTCTTTATTCTAAATCAGCACTTCATTCTAAAATCTTTGATTTGAAAACCTTTCTAATGGTACTGATGCTCTTGAAATTTCTGTATATACACAGTGGCTGGGATGTGTTCCATGATCAAAGCCACATGTGTCTTCACAGATGTAGAGTCCTCTGTCCATATGAGTGACTCCTCAAACTCAGCCTTGTCTAAGGATTGGGGTAAAGCAAGGGAGTTTAGAAATCCAGGTCTTAGCTACCACTCCACTCCAGATATGTGGTAAGCCTTTAGAAAGCCCCAGATTGGGCATATAGGAAACCTGAGTTCTATAATACAAAATAACAATGCTCTAATGATTACTATTTATTGGGAACCTACCAAGTGCTAGGTATTGCACTGAGTACAATATAAATACTATAATATCAATATCCTATGATAACTTTCATAAAGTAGGGAATATTATCCCTATTCTAAAGATGAAAAGATTTTCAAAGGTTATGTGATTTTTTTCAAGATCTTAACAAACAGTATTTAAGACTTAAATCTAGGTTGACCTGCTGCAGGTTCATATTCTTTTTCTTTTCTGTCTAATGTGGCATCCACAAATGAGACACAGCTTCATTCAGCCATGCTTTTTCCTCTGCAATATCAGAGGTCTAGACTAAGTCTGGTTTTCAACCCCAGCTACATATTAGAACTACCTGAAAAACTTAAACAATACCAACTAAAAACAAACAAAACTAATGCACAGGTTGCACCCTGAACTAATTAAATCAAGACTTGGGCTTAGGTATTGTTTATTTAACTCCCAAGTAGATTCTAATCCACTGTCAGAATTAAGAATAATCAGAAATGTGGTGGAGAGAATTCTTTCCAGTTCTTAAAAACCCAAAAGCATAAGTTTCAAGCAATTTTGTATTTTACTGTCCCCCCTTTTGGCTAAAATTACAATCTCAGTGGCTATGAATAAGACATTTCTGATTCCTACTCACTGAATTACTTTTTCTAGTGTCTAAACCTCTCATGTGAAAAAAACAAAAACAGTGAGCTCTTAAAATTACAGACCTTAAAAAATTAACAAAGTTTTTAAGTTCCCAGAATCCCATTAGCCCCTTTGTGAACTAAATAGAGGGAAAGCAGGTATGAGAAACTAACTACAGTATTCTTAGCCACACCAGTAGGACAGACAGCTATAGCAAAGCAAAAAAGCTAGTGTTTCTGATACCCAAGGAAGCTCCCAAATCAACTGCTTGCCAACTTGTGTAAGAGTCAGATGAGGGCCTTGGAGTAATCTACTAGCGAGACTCATTTATTTTTGCATGTGAGCTCTCATCGCTGGTTGTTGAGCTCTCCAAATCTCGAGCTGGGAGAATTGTTGTTAAGAGCTGAATGCAAAGAATAGATTACACAAGATAAATCCTTGCAGATACAAAACCAACAGCAGAAAAACCCATGACCATCAGGCTTTGTTTTGTTGAACTATGAACTGTAGGATTTTGCTTGGAAAATGCTTTGATACATATAAATAGTAACAAGGCACTGACAGATACAACAGGCTTTATTTATGATTGAATAGAAAACTTTTTTTATTCGTGAAGTTTATTGGTACATTTTAGGTGTACAATATGACATTCATCATTGGGAACTTGTACCTTTACATGATGTACCTTGGTTCTTATTTTTTCCCCATTCCCCTGCCCTCCCTTCAACCCCTCCACACCTCCCTATTTATAAAGACTTTGTTTCCGCTTTTTCCTTTTCTCATATTTTTCCTTTCCATTCTTTCCTTTCCCCTATCCCCCACCCCACTTCCCCTTGGGAGAACCATCTCATTAAGTAGGTTTTTAATGACTCTATGGCCAAATTTATCTCATTTTACTTAATGATTTCCCAGATGAGCTTAATCTTTCTGCTCCCTTTCATATTTCCCTCTGAATGCTGCAAGATTGGCTCTGATCCACACCTCTCAAGCAAGGAATTGGAGGAGCTCACTGGTATAAAAAAATTAAAAATTTCAAGGGGATAGTCTGTATTCTAATTTGTTTAACTAAATCATACTAATGGCTATAAATACTTTTGTAATATTCACCCCATTGGCAGATTAATCCTGAAACACTTGTTTCAGTAAGCATAAAGAGAGAATGTAGTAGCTACAATCTGAATTAAACAAATCCTTTCTCAGAGATCCTGGTTCTAAGAAATGAAAGTAAGAATTTAAGGTGAGTGGGATTTTCCCCATGTTTTTAATAAAAATGACTCAAAATTTGGCACAGCTGGCTTATCACAACGAAAGTAAGGAACAAATCTAAAAATCTGTGGATGGAACAGACACACAGACAGGCCTGGGTATTTGTCTTCTAGACACACAGTCACCAAACTATTGAATGAAACAATTTTCACATTCATCCAATCAGTTTTCTGTGGAGTAGAGATGAGCACTTGGAGGACACATACCTCTCAGATCACTCAGGCAAACATTCCTTGGGGACAGTAGAGCTGTTGCTGAGAAATGTTAGGTTTCAAAGAGATTTGTCCCAAACAAACATTTTATTTTTAAAAATTTTATTACGGTAAAAGATATATTGCCATTAATCCTCACTTCTAACATATTTAATCATTCTTGTCATTTTCTGAAGAAATTCTGGAAGTCCTCCTTCCTGAGTTTCTTTAGTTGTGCTGTTGTGGTTGCCTCTGTATCCTGAATAGATTTGAAACATTTTTAAGGTCTATATTTTTATTTTTTAATGTTTATTTTTATAAGTACCTGTTCGCAGTACATAATGATTACACTGCTCATGGGGATTGGTAAATGTACATAACACATCTTAATTCTTTTTTCAACCCTTTCCCCCTCCCTCCCTCTCTTGGTCCCCTTCACTTCTGCAAAGGATCTATTTTAAATGCTTTTGCCCTTTCACTTAGATCTCCCACCTCCTGCAACCAGAGAAAGACCACCAGGATGCAAAACAGTATTTGTGGGCGGTCTGCCTGAAAACGGAACAGAGCAGATCATTGTGGAAGTGTTTGAACAGTGCGGTGAGATCATTGCTATCCGGAAGAGCAAAAAGAATTTCTGTCACATTCGCTTTGCTGAGGAGTACATGGTGGACAAAGCCCTTTATCTATCTGGTAGGTGTTAGATGCGGCAATTGTGCCCACCAGAAAAAAATGCACAAATTGAGGATCTGAGTATTTGTATCTGTGGCAGTTAAAGTGTAGGCTTAATGTTACCCCTTTTTGCCTTCAGAGTTGAAAAATGCATGTTTCCTCCCATCTCCATCCTTTAGAGTTTCTCAGTTGCTCCTAATCTCTGTAGGAAAATTTGAGATTCTAAACATGAAACATCTAAAAGCCTTGATTATCTGCTGTGCTTCTCAGCATTATCTCTCAATTCTTCCTGCGCACACCATGTACCAACCACACTGAAGAAATTTTAGTTCCAGAACGTGCCATAGTGTTTCATGCTTTTTCCCCTGGCTGGAATTAGTTTTCCCATCCCCACCTACCACACACAAATCTCACAGGTATATCCAACCTGTGGCCCATGGGTTGGATATGCCTGCCTTGCCCTGGGCAGCAGTGAGTGCAGAATTGTCTTGAGCTGCATGTAAAATATATTATAGTTAATGTATACAAGTGACAAAACTTCCTTCACTTTTTATATTTTTATTGTAACAGAGGCATATCCAACATGCAAGCTGGACAACTTATACCTATGCTGCAGCTCAAGCACAAGGTCCCCTGGAAATTTTTCTGACTTATCTGTCCCCTCTATCTCAAGTTGATTTAAGCACCCTTCCTGAGTGCCTCCAGGGCATCTGGCGCTTCCTCCTGGCTTGACACCTGTCACGCATGTTAGAACTGATTCTTTCCTCACCCAAAGTATGAACTTCAGGGCAAAGACTGGGTTTTATTTAATTTTGAATCCCCAATACCAAGTAATTGGCCTAACATAAAAGTTAGATACTCAAATATAGTTACAAAAGTATCTTAGTTCATTTTCTGCTGTGAGAACAAAATACCTGAGCCTAAGTAGATAAAGAAAGGAAGTTTATTTGTCTCCATTTCTGGAAACTGAGAATTCCAAGGGCATGACACTGGCATATGTGCAGCTGATGAGGACCTTCTTGGTGAACTATAACATGGAAGATGGCATCAGATGGTGAGATAGAGCAAGTGTGCTAGCTTGGAACTCTCTTCACCATCTTATAAAGGCACTGATGCCATTATGGGAATCTGATGCCATGACTTCATCTAATCCTAATTGCAGCCCAAAGGCCCTACCCCGAAATACTATTATAATATGAATTTTGAGATTAAGTGTCCAACATAAGAACTTTTGGAAGACAACATTCAAACCAAAGCAGTAAGTCAGTTATCAAATATTTATTGACTGCTAGGCAGAATACTAGGTTACTGGAGATACAGCAAGGACTGAGATAGATTTCCTGTCATCCAGGAAATTACATTCTGGCAATAGTAAAATGTGATATACATGTAAACAAATAAAGAAGTTAACATCAGGTACTGATAAGTGCTGTAAAGAAGATAAAAAGGATAATGTACCTGGAAGCATTAGGAAAGGAACTTTTCTCTGACATTTGAACCAAAACCTGAACAATGTGAAAGGAGATTGCCATGTGAACATCTTGGGGATATCTCATTCCAAAATAAGGAACAGCCAACCAAAGGCCCTGAGGTGAAAATGAACTTAGCATGTTCAAGCAGAGGACAGAAAGTTAGCATGGGCCTTATGAACTATAGTTATGAGTTTTATGCTGGAATCCACTGTAGGATTTTATGGGTTGAAGTGACATGACCTAGTTTACATTTTAGGAATAGTACTTCTGGGTAAAAGATGGGCAGATGGATACAGCAAGGGTAATGACTGGAAAATAATTTAGCTAACTGTGACATTAGCCTAATCCAGAAGCAATAGTGGTTTATATAGTATTTTTGGCATGGATCTAGTAAGAACTACTTTGCATAAAATGTACTCAAAGTAGAAGTTTAAATTTGGAGTGGGGCAAGGAATTATAATTGGAATAATTTCTAATGAGTCCATAAAGTGAAGCTGCATGTCTTTTATGTTGGTGTGAAGTCAAAGTTTCATGGTTGATCTTTTGCATATTTTAAATTAATATTGTTTTTATGGGGCAGTGGAAAAATAAGCTATAAGGAAGAAGATGAGGTAATTGGAAAGGCCATAGAACAATTAAATACTTCTTCACCTAAGAGTAATGGTTTGAGAGAACTGAGATCAAGTGCTAGACATGTTAGGACAGCAGCATCTTCATTCACACAATAGGCACTTTTTGAATATCTCCTTTGTGTAAACCATTGTGCCAGATGCTGTACAGAGGAAGAAATGAGTAAAATCTAGTTCTTCCCCTTAATAAGTTTAGTATGCAGCAATACATTGATTTATTAAAGAAACATTTACTCAGCACCAGGCATTACTCAAAACACTGATAAGATGCACTCTCTGCTAACAATAATGATTGATAGCTATAAGTGCCATTAGGGAGCAAGAGGGGAGGAAGAGAGAGAGAGAATATGAATATGTCAGACTCTTAACTGTAGGTATTAAGAAAGGTAGCATTTGCATCAAGTCCTTGACAAATAGAAAGCCTTTAGACAGTGGGCCATGGAAACAGCGTGAGCAAAGACACAAAGGTGGAAAGATTTTGCAAGCATTCAGGTGACACTAAGTGGTGATTTGTGTACTAAATAGACATGAGAGGAGGAAGAAAAATATCATTTGTTAACATACTTGGAAAGGTTTAAGAGTTGGGTCTTTACCCAACTGGTAATAGGGAAATGTTGAAGAAATTTTTGAGCAAGAATGTTGGTTGTTTCTGAAAGATTAATCTGACAGCTCTGACTGTAAAAATGGATTAAAGGAGAGGAGGTCAATTGGAAGCCTGTTACAGTAGCCCGGGGAAAAGGTAATGGGGGTTTGAGAAAGCAGGCTACTAACATGGAGTAGAAGAGGAGGAGGTAGATGTAGTATACTCTTATTACAGGTGCTAAGTGCTGTAGAATCTAACTACGGAAGGACAGATAGCAGTTAGCTACAATAACAGCACTACACGACACACTATTTTAATAAGCATGTAAAGGTTTTGAAAAGCCCTGAACAGTTGTACATAAAATACAACATACTGCTGAGGAAGCACCCACCTAAACATCACAAAAATGTGCTCTCTGTTAACAACTACCTCGTAGAAACATTTTCAGGGCTGCCAATGGAAAGGGGATAGCAATAGATGCTGTGAAAATAGCTAAATTTTGCCCTTTAAATTTGAACCTGCCCCTGGAAGTTCACAAGTTCTAGAAGTCTGCAAAATGAGATGGCTGCTATCCCACATTATAGAAGAAAAATGCTTAAAATAATAAAAGTCCTTTAGAAAATGAGCCAGAAAAAAAGTAGAAAGAATCATCTTTATTTGTTAGAGTTGAGGTACCTTTGGGAGTCAGCACTGTACACAGTGCACCCACCCCATAGCCCCATCACATATTTAGTGTGATTTACGTAGAGCTTTCCCATCATACTCTTTTTTGATCCTCTCCACAGTCCCAGGTGAACAGGTAAGGTAACCTTTTGTAGCCCCATTTTTCTGATGGCTCAGATGATCAAATACAATGAATGGGTGTGCAAGTACATTGCAAACTGCAAAGGACTCTAGAAAGTTTGCTTATGAAATATGTTTATTTTTCCTCTTTCTTTTTCTCCCCAGCATGGAGGGTTACACCCAGAGCCTTTACACTGAGCTACATCCCCATCCTTCTTGAGACAGGGTCTTGCTAAATTGCCCAAGTGGGACTTGAACTTGCAAACCTCCTGCTTTGGCCTCCCAAGTTCTGGGATTGTAGGTGTGTACCACTGTGCCCAGCTAGTCTTCATATATATTAGTTTTAGTGTTTCTGGGCATTGTTTTTATAACAGCTATATGAGATATAATAATTCATATACAATGACCTTCATATCATTGAAACATACAAATATATAATATTGCATACCGCTATGAAACCATCAACAACAATCAAAATAATGACTATGCGTACCACTCCCTAAGGTTCCTTCCTGCCTCTTTTGTAATCCTTTCTCCCTATGTCTCTCCACTTCCTTCTCAGGCAACCACTTATCTCTCCTCTATCAGATTAGTGTGCATTTTCTAGAACTTCCTGTACATGGAATCATACATTATGTATGCTTTTCCTTCCTCTATATAGATCCAGATTTCCATTTGGTATCATTATCCCTATACCTGAATTTTCTGTAACATTTTCTGTAGTGTAAATCTCTTCCTGTTGAACACTTTCAGCATTTGTATGTTTCAGAAAGATTTATTTCACCTTTCTTTTTGAAATATATTTTTTTCTGGATATAGATTTCTGGGTTCACAGGTTTTCTATCTCCCCTCTCTCAGGTCTTGTTCCACTAGCTTTTTCTTTGCATTGTTTCTGTCAATACATATGATGTTGTCCTTATCTTTGTTTCTCTATACATAATACTATATGTCTTTTGTCTATAGCTGCTTTTAAGATAGTCTCTTTACTGGTGGTGTTGAGCAATTCAGTTATGATGTACCTTGGTTACTTTCTTTCATGTTTCTTGTGCTTGAAGTTCATTGAACTTCTTGGATCTGTGAGGTTTCATCAAATTTGGAAAATTTTCTCCCTTTATTTCTTCAAATATTTTTTTCTGTTTCATCCCCACTCCTCTCTTTTCAGGGCTCCAGTAGCAATATATTAGGCCTCTTTTACAGTTTTCTCACAGCCTACCGCTTCATTTTTTTAACCTTCTGTCTCTATTTTATTTTGGGTAGTATGTAATGCTATGTTTTCAAGTTTATTATTTTTTTTCATTTGTAATGTCTAATTTGTCCTAGCCACTTATTTTTCCCCTCATGTTAAACATTAGACATAATCATGTTGGACCCTCTGTATATCCCTTCAGTTATTTCTCTGTGAAGATTTCTCTGTTGGGAACTCCACTTGCCATAGTCTCTCCTACTCGCCATGGGATGAATACCATGCTCTGCCCAAGTTCCTCTCCCTGTCCTGAAGCTTGGAAACTCTTTCTAGGCAATAAGCTGGGTCAGTCATGGGGATCACTTCATTTGGTCCTTATCTGTCAGTGATCACTGGCTTCATTATCTGATGTCCACTATCTTAAAACTACTGTTTCATATATTTTGTTCCTATTTTTCATTCTTTAATGGAAGATAGTATATCTAACCTTTGTTATTCTATCCTAGCCAGAAGCAAAAATCTATGTTGTGTATTATTCTTTAGAGTAGAGGACCACACAAGAGATTTAGAGTCAAAAAGCATCCTGGATTAAAACTCTAGTTGTGCTATTTGCTAGTTGTTTGACCCAGGGGAAGCTACTTGACCTCTCTAACCCCTCTGATGCTGTTTTTCTCTTTAGTAAAATGTTTACCCTGCAAGCTTGTGCTGAGAATGAAATGAGATAAATGTGTATGTAAGTATGTAGCTCAGCTACTAAAACTTAAAGAGTACTTAAACATTTTTTTCAGTTTTTGTTAAGACTTAGGAAGTGTAGCTGCCATAAAAGGTGGAGGTAGGGAATTGAATCCTGGTTTTCTGAATCCCACTCTCATATCATTATTACAGTTACATAAACTTTAAGTATCCCAAAGTATGTGTCATCTGGGTTATATGCCACTCCCCATCATATCTAATCTTTCTCCCAGAAAAGAAATTGTCCAGAGTTGCGAAGTGCATCTAAGAAACAATTTTAGACACTAAAATGCCAAGTTAATACTTTAAGCTTTATCAAAATTCATCATGATGGTATGACTGACACTCTTGAAGTTATTTAAAAACACAGTAGCTTGAGGCCATCAATTCTATTCTTCCCAGCCCTTGATGCTCATATGAGGCTCATTATTGATGCCATTACCCACAAAACCACCATCATCCAGAGGTAAGGTGGGAGATGGAGGAATGTAACTCCTAATATCAAGACCAACCCAACCAATAGAATAGTCATCTGTTCTTAGCAATAAGATTATAATTGAAGTCTTTTAGTGATTCAGCTTGCTAGTATAGGGAGAGAATTTGGGAATAATGTGGTCACTTGGAATTGCTGCAACCACATCTGAAGCACTGAACTTGGAAAAATAGCTATAATTGCTGACTTACTAGGCTGCTGTTCTCCTACCACCAAACTTAGGTTACCGAATTCGGCTGGGCTCTAGTACTGACAAGAAGGACACAGGCCGGCTCCACGTTGACTTTGCACAGGCACGAGATGACCTGTATGAGTGGGAGTGTAAACAGCGTATGCTAGCAAGAGAGGAGCGCCACCGGAGACGGATGGAGGAAGAAAGATTGCGTCCACCATCCCCACCCCCAGTGGTCCACTATTCGGATCATGAATGCAGCATTGTTGCTGAAAAACTAAAAGGTATAGAAGGCATTTGAGCTTCCTGATTAAAAGAATTCTTTTCTTTAGGAAAATGTGACAAATAGTGTTGTCGGTAATAACTCTTAGGATTTCCCACTTATGGATTTGAAACATTTGTGCTGGAGCCTTGCTAATTGAGAGAAGTACGTACCTAATAGGAACCAGAAGATTTGTTCACGCCACTTGTGTCTCTACTCCTTTGTTGTGTCAAGGGATAGCATTTTTCTCTCAGACATCAGTTAACCAAGAAGAAATGGGTTTTTTTCCATTTTCTACATCAGAGAATTTTAGGTGTGATTCATATGACTTGGAACCGGTATGAGATGTGATGAAAAACTATGGTGAATGTTTAAATTTTTTTGAATTTATTACAGTAGCAGATATTTTGCTATTAATGTCCCTCAAACTATTCCTGTTTACCTCGCACACATACTCATCTCATCATTCTTGCCACTTCCTGAAGCAGTTCTTGAAGTCCTTCTTCGGGAGTATCTTTAGTTGCACTGTCATGGCTGCCTCAGTGTCCTGAATTGAATCAGAACACCTCCCTTTCATGGTCACTTTGGCTTTGAAGAAAGAGCCAGAAGTCACATGATGTCAGATCTGGTGGATAAGGTGGATGAGAACATACCATAATGTTTTTACCAGCCTGTTTTTCCACTGATTGTCACTTGGCAGCACCATTCACAGTATTTTTTATCACACCTCATAAACACACCTATGAAAGAGGACTTCCAGAACTGCTTCAGAAAGTGGCAAGAAATAAGAACCAAGGTACATCATGTAAAGGTACAAGATCCCAATGATGAATATAACTGTATTGTATACCTAAAATGTACCAATACACTAAATGGAAAAAAAAAAGAAAGTGGCAAGAATGATGGGGGAAGTGTGTTTGAAGCAAGGAGGGAGTATTTTGAGGAGGATTCATGTGTCTTTCACTATAATCATTTTTATTTAAATATACACTGTATACTTTGACCACCCCTTGTATTTGTCCCTTCTTCATAGCGAATACAAGTTAGGCTTGAATTCTAAATCAAATGGGTTAACCAGAATGATGCACCTTGATGTAACCCTAGTAAAATCCCTATTTTAATGATGAGAAAATGGAGGCCCAGAAAGCAGTCACAGTGTACGTTCTTCTTAGATTACCTCAAAATCTTAGCCACCACCAATAAAAGAAGCCTTTTTTTTTTTGAAGTACTGGAGATTGAACCCAGGGCCTTGTGCATGGTAGGTAAGTGCTGTGCTCCTTGGAGATAGGTTTGTCTCCAGCCCTTTTTATTTTTTGAGAAAGGGTCTCACTAAATTGCTAAGTTACCCAGGTTGGGCTCAAACTTGGGATCTTCATGCCTCAGCCTCCTAAGTAGCTGGTTTTACAGGTGTGTATCACTGCACCCAGCTAGAGGACATTTTTTAATCAATTAAAAAAGGTCAATTTATTTCACACAGCAACCATGGAGACTTCTAGACATTGCTGTGTCATACTGCTTTTTCTGATATTTTGATTCCTGTTTGCTCTTGCTTAATTCTCAGACTCATTTTGCTAATTTAACATTAATCACCCTGACTGGTGTCTTGTCTTAGCAGCTCAAACCCAGTCTCTCATTTTCTGAGAATTATTGAATGAGTGTAGTGTCACATTGATCTTATTGATGACACCAACCCAGCTCTAATGGTCTGAATTTGCCTTGCTTCTAGTGCTCTCAGCTGAGCAAGATCTTGCTAATTCTACTTTCTAAATAGGTCTCACTCACCAAATTTGTTTACATCACATAACCTAAGGGAGTCGCGTGTTTAAGAATTCAAAGAATTCTCTTTGGACTGACCATTGACTTCTTACAAGAGAGAAAGTGGAAAACATAGAGTCCAAACTAGATACACAAATATTACGATATACAGTATTTGAAAGGCTAAAAACAATGAGTAAGGTGCCAGCCCCAAGACTTGCCCATTCGCATGACACCAAACAAATCAATTTAATTCAAAAAATAAAACAAAGAATTTGTTTGTTGTGTGGCCCACAAGAGAAGGAAAATCTGAGCATCATCGTAAGGATTTCATCCAAGTAATGAAATGAAAATCTTCTCTAAAGAGAAGGCTTCCCTCCTGTTATAAGTCTGCATTTAATAAAAGGGTACAAGGCAAGAAGTTCAGATTGCAGTGAGAGATATTGCCACTTGACATGAGGCTTGCTGGCCAGAGTGGTGTGTGAAGCCCTCAAATGGAGCCTCAGTTGGATGCTGCCTCTCAGGAGAGGAGTCTGTTAACAGCAGTAGTGTGTACATGACTATCTCAGGGCTGTGCTAAACAGCAGAGAATATCTCCTGGCTGGCTAGTTGAAGGGTTCCTCAGGCAGTTGGAAAAAGATGTAAGAAATATAGAAATAAAATGAACTCCATCAAAATACATTATGACTGTACCTGAGTGGAAGGCCTGGGGCTGTGGACTGGATGCAAGAATGATGTGTTAAAAGGTTGAAGATGTAAGTGTTTATATCTAAAGAATTACTCACTTAACTCTTTCCTAAGGCTCCTTTCAGCTTATAATTCTATGAATCTAGGGAAAAGTTACTGTCGAATTTAAGTTAAACTCAGAACTTGAGTTTGTTTTTCCTTGCTGAAACACAGGATTGTAGAATTCTGACATTCTCTCACTGCTAATCCATAACTTATTCTCTCTCTCTCTCTCTATCTCTCATACACACAGAGATACACACATATGTATGCACATAGACAGGTAAAGTAATGTGCAATATGTTAAAAAGTATAATATCAGTACAGAATATCAGTTTTTGTGGTGCTAGAGATTGAACCCATGACCTCACGCTTGCTAAACATTCATTCTACTACTGAGCCACATCCCAAGCTCAGAAAAATAAATTTAAGGAAAGAAGAAACAGTTCTCTTTCTGAAAATCTTCATAAACCACAGCTAATCTGACTACTTTTTGAGCCTTTCATTCTTTCTCTTTTTCTGACTGCCTGCTGCTTGCCCATGTGTGCTTGATTGGAAAAATGCAGATGTGATTACTTCTGATGGTTCTAACAAGAAACCCTCCCATTTTCAGATGATTCCAAATTTTCAGAAGCAGTGCAGACCTTGCTCACCTGGATTGAGCGAGGAGAGGTGAATCGTCGCAGTGCCAACAACTTCTATTCCATGATCCAGTCAGCCAACAGCCATGTCCGCCGTCTGGTGAATGAGAAAGCTACCCATGAAAAAGACATGGAGGAAGCAAAGGAGAAGTTCAAGCAAGCCCTGTCTGGAATTCTCATCCAATGTGAGTGGAAGTTTGAGTTCTGCTGCCAGGGTTCCAGGGCCCTTTACACACTCACCACTTGCTATGTACAGAAACCCAGGCCTCCAGAGCCATCCGATGTCAAGAACAAGGCTGCCTTCCTTACTGCCCTGTCCTCTCCTTAAAGTGCCAAATGCCAGTCTTCCAGTTTCACAGAATATGTGTGAACACCTCCTGTTTTCATTTTCCTTGCTATATCAGCTCCTTAGAAACACTATAGTTAGGCCAGCCATATCCTGTACCTTCACAGCCATTGGCCTCAGTGGAAGGTTGGGTAGTTCATGGCTGAAGTGAAGATATAACATCAGCATTTTAAAGCTACTTTTTTTTGCATCATTATCATCATGTAGTATGCATTCTAGGAACATTAAGTGATAATTATGATTATATTTCCCAAGATGATGGAATAAAAAACAAAGTTGCTACTTTTACCTTTTATAATTACTTTCCTTTCTTCCACTACCTTTGCTTGCTATGACGAACTATGGCAGGGTGAGAAGCCATTGAAATAGCCATTTTCAAAAACAAACACCACTTTAAACTTATCAAAGTTTTCTTAAGTGAGATATATCGGATAAATTCTCAAGTAAATTTTTGATTCACCACATTACATAATTATGTATGCTTATCTTTTCAGTAAGGAACTATATATATTCACTTTAAGAATAAGGATGCAGTTTTATGATTTTCCTTTTAAAAAATTATGGTCCACTCTTCCTATACTTTACTTTCCACACTTGACTCCTACATAATTGTTATTAAGAGGAGTTGTTGCATTTTCCCCTTGTATTCTGTAAGTATATATGAACATAAAATCCAGGAGGTAACAGCACATGTCCTGAGGACTTCAGAATATGTAGAAAATGAGAGCAGCAAGCATCATGAGATTTTAAATCCTAGAATCATTAGAAGACAAAATACAAACAGGGCTGTAAAGGAAAAATAAAACCTTCTGGATTTTTTAACTGTGAACATCCAAACAGGAAGGGGCTCTTCCAGCTTTTCTCAAAAGAGTCATACCTAAGCTTCTCCTCTCTTGAGCTGGTTAGGATAAAGCCCCAGAATCTGTACACATTTCCCTATTAACATTCTAAGAGACCCTGAAAAATGCTGCCTGAGATTGTACTTACATGTATTTTTCCATAAAACCTACAATTCTCCAGTCAACAAGCTTAGCTAGGTAGACCTACACCCTACCCATATTAAGTTTTGGTATGATGCTACTGTTTAAACATACCTAAGAAGCAAGAGGATAAATTCTACTGAAGCAAAACATCCCAGCTTATATCACAGGGCTGGTTAATAAAAAGAGCTAGTGGTAGGGGCAAGCAGGCTCCCGTCAGAGGCCCGACATTCCACCAGTGAGTGCATGCAGATCCTGGGGAGCAGCTGTGTGGCCCAGACCAGCAGGGCTGCAGGCGGATCCCAGCCAGGACTCCACCCTGACCCAAGAGGCTCCGGCACACCCGCCCAAGCCAAAGGCCTGCCCAGAAAGGGTCTGCACAGGCACATGGGCTTCAGCCAGAGGCTCACCATACCATTGGCCACAGCCAGGGATCCACCTGGAGAAGAGCTGTGCAGGCAGACAAGCAGTACCCAGAGGCTCACCCCAATACCATTGATAAGTGCGAGGAGACCCTAGCCTAAGCCTGTGCAGACAACAGAAACTGGGGTACACAGCCCCAAACCAAAGGCCCTTCCACACAATAGCTACATAGGGGCCCCAGCAAGAGGCATGCCTAGATACCATCCCAAGTGTGCTCAGGCCCCAGCCAGAAGCCCGACGAGACAACAGGCCAGCTCAGGGATCTAGAAGGTCACCCCTTTGAACCCAGGAATTTGTGTACTGGTGAGCAGCAGAATAAAGGCTGCTCGGTGGCTTACTAAGAATTCAAGAACACTAGGTGAGCAAAAAGTCGCCTCAACAAAGACACAGCAGGCTACATCTGTTGAAATGAGAAGACATGTAAATAAGACCCAACACCAGACTTCCAGATCACCTAAGGGAACCCCAAAGGGCAAAGAGATGAAACAATCTGATACTCAACCACCTGGATTCCCTGAACTGGCAATGAAAGGGGACCTGGAAAAAATGAAATCAGAAATAATTTCTCAGATAACAGCAGAGATTGTGTCCATAGTACAAGACATGATTAATAAATTAGACTGGACACAGATAAAAAAAATAGAGGATCTGAGGAATATGATGGAATCTTAACATAGGAAACAAATGGAATCCATAAAACAGATGCAAACAGATTTCCAGGAGATTAAAAACTCCACTGAAAGTCTATGCAGCAGAATGAGCCATTGTGAGAATAGAATTTCAGATATAGAAGATAGGATTGGAATTAGTGACCAGAAAAAGAAAAATTTCTTAAAAATAGTAAGGGACCATGAGAAATCGATCCAGCAGCTGCTGGACGATGCAAAGAAGAATAACATCAGAGTGATTTGAGTCAAGGAAAAAACAGGAGAGAGTGCAGATGACATAAGAAACTGTTCAAAGAAGTAATGGCAGAAAACTTCCCAAATAGGAAAAAAACTTAACATAGACATAAGTGAGGCATATAGGACTCCCAACTAGCCTTGATCAAAAAAAATCCACACATAGGCATATAATAGTTAAGATTCCAGAAACCCAACAGAAAAACAAAATTCTTCAAGCAGTTAGAGAAAGAAACAAATCACATACAGCGGAAAGCCCATCAAAATGATAGCACACTTCTCAACACAAACCCACAAAGCAAGAAGAACATGGAGCAACATATTTCAAGCCCGAAAGGAAAACAGCCTCCAACCCAGATTAATGTACTCTGCAAAACTATCTTTCAAAGTTGATGGAGAAATAAGACACTTTCATGACAAAGAGCACCTCGGGAACTTCATGAATACCAAACCAGCACTCCAGAAACTTTCAGACAATATCCTAGGAAAAGACAATGAGGATCACAATGCCAGGAAACCCTGCAGAATGAATCCATCAGACACAACAAGAAATTAAACACAAAGGGGGAGAATCCAACAAAAAGAAAAAGTCATGACAAGGATAAGTCAGTACATATCAATTATAACCATCAATGTTAATGGTCTCAATTCACCAATCAAAAGAAATAGACTGGCAGAATGGGTCAAGAAGCAAGATCCAACAATATGCTGCATACAAGAAACACACTTAATTCAAAAACTCATAGACTGAAAGTTAAAGGGTGGAAAACAATACTCTATGTGACAGGAACACAAAAAAAAGCAGGAGTAGTTATCCTCTTTGCAGATCAAGTGGATTTCAAACCAACACTGATTAAGAGAGACAAAGAAGGACACTACATCCTTGTAAAGGGAACAATCCAAGAGGAAGAGATGACAATCATTAATATATATGCACCAAACACTAGTGTGCCCAACTATATAAAACAAATACTAATGGACATGAAAAATCATATAAGCACTAACACAGTAGTGGTGGGGGACCTCAGTACCCCACTCTCACAAATAGATCAGCTAGACAAAAAATAAACAACAAAATATTAGAACTCAAACTCTTGAACAAATGAACTTAACAGACGTTTACAGAGTGTTCCACCCCACAAAATCAGAATACACATGCTTTTCAGCTGCACATGGGTCGTTCTCTAAAATAGACCACATACTTGCTCATAGAACATGTTTAAGTGAGTGCAAAGGAATTGAAGTTATCCCCTGTATATTGTCAGACCATAGTGCAATGAAATTGGAAAGCAATAGCAAAAGAAGGCACAAAAATTTCATAAACACATGGAAATTGAACAACACACTTCTAAATAACCAATGGGTCACAGAGGAAATTAAAAAAGAAATCAGACATTTCCTGCAACTAAATGACAATGACAATACAACATATCAGAATCTATGAGACACAATGAAAGCAGTCTTAGAAGGGAAATTCGTAACAGTGAAATACTCACATTAGGAAAACAGAGCGAGCTCAATTAAACAACCTGATGCTGAACCTCATGCTTCTAGAAAAAGAAGACCAGAACAAACCCAAAGCCCATAGAAGGGAGGAAATTATAAAGATCAGGGCAGAAACCAATGCAATGGAGAATAAGCGAACAATACAAAAAACCAATTAAGCCAAGGGTTGGTTCTTCAAAAGAATAAAATAAAATTGACAAACCCTTAGGCAACCTTATCAGAAAAAGAAAAGAAAAGGCCCAAATCCTCACAATTAGGAATGAAAAGGGTGAAATTACAACAGACCCAGCAGAAATCCAGAGGATCATCAATACCTACTTCGAGAACCTATACACCAATAAGATGGAAAATACACATGAAATGGACCGATTCCTAGATACGTGTGAATTATCAAAGTTGAACAAAGATGACCTAAAAATTCTAAATGACCCGATATCAATCAGTGAAATTGAAAATGTAATTAAAAACTTACCAACTAAGAAAAGCCCGGGCCCTGATGGCTTCACTGCTGAATTCTATAAGACATTTAGAGAGGAACTACTGCCACTACTGTTTAAACTCTTCAATGAAATTGAAAGG